TGACCGTTTATTCAAAGATCTCATGTGCACGAGCAATGTGACCCTCGATGGTTCAGGTGTAAGCTAGCCGTGGGCCCACAACCCTTTGTGGTCAAAACTCGTCCCCTTCGAGTTACGATTAAGATGAAGCTCGTTTCACCTTAATCACCCAACGAATCAAGATTGGCGTCTAGCAACTACGCGTCATGATTCCCTAGATACAAATGAAGTGCCTGCAAGAACCTTCAGATATAGTTAACGTACAGTACGGTCCCTTCGATTCATATGTCCCGATCGAACTAGAGGCATTGGTTCATCGAGACCTCTTTATATGTTCGATGACGGTGCGATCGTTCCAAGTGTTGTAATCGTCACGTGCATGACTTAGAGAATCGAATTCTCTAATCATCACTTAGTCAGCTCTGGCCAGAGACTTAGAATGATTACAAGCTGTTGATAGAGTAATTATCCGTTGCTTCTTTGATACCCAACTGAATGCTGAATTTCCAAAGTAGAATACAAAACCACTTGTACTCTTTTGATCATCGTGATCTCCGGCCCAATCGCTGTCGATATATCCGGCTAGCTTCAAATTTCCATTTGTTGGGTAGAACATACCCAAATTAGTAGTTCCTTTGATGTAGCGGAGTATCCTATTTGCTACTTTGAAATGGTACTCCGTTGGATCTTCCATGTATCGGCTAACAAGACCAACCGCAAATAGAATATCGGGTCTTGTGCATGTAAGATACCTCAGACTTCCAACTAAGCTTTTGAATAAGGTCGGATCAACAGGCTCTCCTTTAACGTGCTTCGACAATTTGTCTCCAATGTCAATTGGAGTGCCAATTTCCTTGCATTTCTCCATTTTGAATTTCTTTAGCACATTTTTTGCATAGCCTTCTTGTGAGATGAAAATGCCATCATCTTGTTGATTCACTTTAATGCCAAGATAATAAGACATCAACCCAATGGTTGTCATCTCGAACTCCTTGGCCATCTCCTTTTTGAATTCATCAAACAATTTCACATTGTTCCCTGTAAATATTAAATCATCAACATACAAGCATACAATTGGCATATCACCTTTATCGACCTTCATATATAGCGAATGCTCATGTGGACATTTTTTGAATCCCTTTTCCAAAAAATATTGATCAATGCGGCTTATCCACGCCCTTGGTGCTTGCTTTAACCCATAAAGTATTTTTTTCAATTTTAGCACTTTATTCTCTTGACCACGAACCAAGTAACCTTATGGTTGGTCAACGTACACCTCTTCTTCAAGCACTCCATTTAGTAATGCTGATTTCACATCCCATCCATTTGATAGATGTTCCACTTCTTTTGAGCTGCTATGAGATTAGCAAACTAATGGTCTCCAATCGGGCAACGGGAGCAAAGACTTCGTCATAGTCAATTCCCATCTTTTGCTTGTAGCCTTTGACAACAAGCCTCGCCTTGTATCTTTCCACCTCGCCTTTGGAATTCCTTTTCACCTTGTAAACCCATTTGACTCCGATAGGTTTATGCCCCGATGGTAAGGAAGTGAGCACCCAAGTATCATTATTCTTGATAGCTTCAATCTCTTCATTCATGGCCTTTCTCCACTTCTTGTTTTTCGATGCCTCCTTAAAGTTGATAGGCTCCGTATCAACAAACAAACAGAATAAGTTTGGGTTCTGATTGAGTTGATCATAAATCTCATGTAGAGACCTTGTCTTTCGAGGTCCTTCACTACTCGAACTTTCACCCTCGGAAGAAGATGCAGGTGATGATGGTGGAGTTACTTCATCTACGGGCTCCTCTTCAACTTCCTTAGTTGTTGCCTCAAACGGGTAGAATGTGTAATGCTCATTTTCTTGAGCATTCCAATTCCACAAACTCTTCTCATCGAACGCAACGTCTCAACTGATTTTACTCTTCTTCTCAACAGGATGATACAACTTGTATCCTTTCACAGCTTGATCATAGCCCACAAAAATATACTTTTGGATTTTGTCATCAAGTTTCTTTCGTTGTTGGTCCGGAACATGCATATGGGCAATACTCCCAAACACTTTCAAATGTGTTATGCTAGGCTTGAATCCACTCCAAGCCTCTTGTGGTGTTTTCTCAAAAACACTCCTCGTTGAACTCCGGTTTGATAGATAAACAACACAATCAACGGCTTCTGCCCAAAACTTCTTCGGCAATTGTTTGGACTTCAACATGCATCGAACCATGTTCATAATGGATCGATTCTTCCTCTCTGCGACACCGTTTTGCTGGGGTGAGTATGCAACGGTGAGAGGTATACGAATACCGTGCTCATCACAAAACTTTTTGAACTCACTTGAAGTGAATTCGCCTCTCACGCTCAGATCTCATCGCCTTAATGTGATAGCCATTTTGCTTCTCAACAAGAGCTTTGAACTTTTTAAAGTTTGAGAATGCCTCCGATTTTTGCTTCAAAAAATAAACCCATGTGTTTCCGACTGTAATCATCAATGAAAGTCACAAAATAGCGATTATGCCCTAGTGATGTAGGTTCAATTGGGCCGCATATATCCGTAAGGATCAACTCCAACGGTTGCGTTGCTCTTGACAAAGACTCCTTTGGAAAACTTAGTCGAGATTGTTTTCCGGCAATACATCCTTGACATACTTGATCGGGATGATCAATTGATGGTAGTCCCTTCACCACCTTCTTCTTGGACATCATCTTTAGTCCACCAAAGTTGATATGGCCCAGCCTCAAATGCCATAGCCAAGATGGGTCCTCGTAACACGCCTTTAAGCACTTCGCCATATCGTGATAAATATTCAATAAGAACATCCGATTGCTTGTCATTGGAATAGTAGTAATCAGCGTACCTTCACTATTCTTCAAGTATAGGTTACGACCATTCATATGGACATCGTATCCTTTCTCTAGCAGTTGGCCAATACTTAGAATATTTGTCTTCATTCCCGGCACATAGTAAACATTCTCGATGAATTGGTGTGCTCCACTTTTCAATTTGAAGAGTATTCTCCATTTACCTTTGATGGTAATCTTCGACATATCTCCAAATGAGATATTTCCCGTCACGGACTCATCGATCTCTACAAATATGTGTTTGTTCCCGCACATATCGTTGCTCGCACCCGAATCAAGGTACCACGAGCAATCGTTCTCCTCCGTCGATTCTTTACACCCCATTAGGGATAGCTCGGCAACTTGTTTTTCCGTTGCTTCAACATAATGAGTCGTTTCATCATTTGACTCATTTCGACACTCACAAGCATAGTGTCCGTATTTGTGACAATTGTAACATTCGACATCTTTCTTGTCTTGACGCCGATTGAATCCTCCTCGTCCACGACCTTTTGTTGGTCGATTCTCTTGCTTCGTATCATCATTGTCGTACGAGGATTGTCCTTCACGACCTCTTCCACGACCACGACCGCGTCCACGACCACGGCCTCTACCTCTGCCTCAAAATCGAGCACCATCATATTTCGGTTGGTCGGCAAGGTTAGTCTTTGCTTCAAGGGCTTGTTCTACTTCGGGCCCTTTGTTTCGCCTCTTGATCTTCTCCTCATGGACTTGTAACTTGCCCAATACCTCGTTCACTTTAAGACTCTCAACGTCGTTTGACTCTTCAATTGCCACGACAATGTAGTCGAACTTAGGATCAAGGGATCGAAGTATTTTTTTGACCACTCTTCTCTCTTCCATTGTTTCACCATTTCTTTCAAGTTGGTTAACGATCAAAACCACCCTTGAGACGTAATCGGAAACATTTCGGAGTCTTTCATCTTCAAAGACTCGAACTCTCCACGAAGTGATTGGAGTCGTACCTTCTTCACCTTATCAATGCCTTTGAAAGCATCGCTAAGAATATCCCACGCTTGCTTCGTCGTAGTAGCTTGAGAAATTTTCTAAAAGTTACTATCATCTACACCGAGTTAGATGATGGATAGTGCTCTTTGATCTTTCACCTTGGCTTCTTTGGATGTCTTCATTTGGGCTTGGCTTAACGAAACCAAATTCTCCGGTTCAACATATTCTTCTTCAACGGCTTCCCAAACGTCTTGTCCACAAAGAAAAGTTTTCATTTGTATGCTCCATCGATCATAGTTCTCTTTTGCAAGCTTTTGAAATGGGAAAACTCCATTTGTGGTTACCATCGCTCTTTTCTATTAAGACGTGGTTCTGATGCCACTTTGTTGGATCGATTTAATAATATAGATCGAAAAACACGCAGCGGAATAACTTAAAATAGAGAGGAGTAGTGGAGAGGAGATACAATTATATTACTCACTCAATCAACACAAAATATATAAACTCACTCAAGAACTCTCTTTTTCTCTCTAAAATACTTTTTCTTGTTTTTGACCTTTTTCAAATGAAAAACTACATAGACTATTTATAGGATTTTCCTAGCATGTATGTAAACAAATACATGAACACATAATTAATAATATTCTTCCTCCATAGCATTATACATGAATCTCTCACATTCATGTATTCTTCCACATTCATGAATTCTAGAACCTTCAATACTTTGAACTTGATTAATGAATCTAGCTTATTCATTTCCAACACCAAGATGATTGGGGCTTGATGATCCGCCGCCGCCCCTTGGTTTTGATCAAGATTTTGCTCGTTACTCCACGAAGATGATGGATTTTGTTGCACCAAGATGATTGGGGCTTGATGATCCGCCGCCGCCCCTTGGTTTTGATCAAGATTTTGCTCGTTACTCCACGAAGATGATGGATTTTGTTGCACCAAGACGATTGTGGCTTGAACCTCCCCAAGAATTTTACGAGCAAGAAACTGATTCTTCATTGGTCGTTGGTTTTCCACTGGAATTTTTTTTTCAAGCTGATGAAACTGATACTTCGTCGATGATGGTTTTTGCACCGGAAAGTTTTTTTCAAGCTCAAACGCATTCTCCTTCTGTGAATCATGAGAAGAATTATTTGATGGGAAGTTTTGACGATTTTGGATTTGAAGTGCATTATCATCCATTAATGCGAACAACTTTCATCATTGTTAATAAAACATTAATGAGTAGTAACTACTGAAACAAACATTACTCCGGTCTAGTTCACGAACCAAACGGCTAAAAAATACCACGATTAGTGTCTGAACCACTAGTTTACAGAGGTAATTGTTTGCAGAATCTATTGTCTCCAATAATGCTAGATGATCAAGCTCGAATAAATCCGAACTCGAATCACTCATTCCATCTTCGTCACGAATTTTCCTAAAACAAGGAAAAACCATCGTCATTTTTACTACAATACTTTTTCAAAAGATTCTTCGCATCATTATTTGCTATTTTTCTCCATTATAATTTTGCTGAACTTCAACTCCGCCCGATGAATGAATTCGGTAGGCTTTTATACCTATCAAAATCTTCGTCATATTTTTGCCCACGGGGCCTTAAATCCTGACTAACAGTAACACTCACCGGATTAAAACTCACACTTCTTTGATCACCATTCTTTGAAGAGTGAGTTGATGAAACTTTTGATCACTTTGAGAAATTGGCTGCTTCACTTTCTTCAGATTGGCGTATATTTTCAAAGCCCTGGATTTTGATCACTTGATCATCAAATCATCTCCCACTTTGCTTTTCTGGTGATCCTGGTTATTGTTGTTGTAATCATCGAACAAAAATCGGTTTTCCTTTAAGCTATAAAGAGCTTCCTATTGCGGATTGGGAGGTCGGCTATTAGCAGATGAAACACACGATCCCCACACGAGCAATTCTTTGCTAGTATCATCTTTGTGAACCAGCACTTCGATGAAACACAACGATTCCTTGTACGTGTCTGTCGCAGCTGCTATTGCTTTCACCAATTCATCTTCCGTTCTCACCTGATTTTTCCAGCGACCATGGTGTTATAATTCGATTATCAATAAACTGAGATTAGTTTATAAAAAAATGTCAAATATATGCTAACCTTGGCAGTCCAGCAGTTGCCCTCTCCATTGTGGATGGCGTCGACAAGGCCCGTGCAGTTCCAATTCTTGATCACGTTGTACGGACCATCGTGAATTTCTACCTCAATTGTGTATCCTCCGTTATTGATGAGGAATATAATGCTCTTCTGCCCGCATCTTATCATAGTAGATATATCTTGATCCGTAACCTGTACTTGTGGAAATCAAATTCATTTGTAAAAAAAATGGAAAATACATATTTCAAACCTAGCACAAAGTTTGTAATTGTCCTGCCGCGTGTAATATTTAATTATTTATTATATATACAAAAAAGTACACGTGGCAGCAGAAGACCCACCCGGTGTTTATCACCGTGTGTAGGGTCGAAGGAGCCGTACTAATTGTCAGAAATAGCATTAGGACCGGTATGTATAGAAGACAACGAATTGCAGACAGATTGAAGTTGAGGAACAGTAAAAGATCCTCGTAGTAAACTGGTGGCTATGGATCTATAAGCTGCCTCCGTCAAATGCACGCCGTCCCAACTCACGTGCGAAGAAGGGTCTTTGCACGTGTGCGACCCTCCACCCCCACATTGTACCTTCAAATCTACGTTGTACGGCCCTCCCGCTCCGCAACAAGCTCTAAGTGCTCCTTCCGTAAAACCTGCATCAACGTCAATTAAACATTATTATTATTATTTCACTAATTAATTTAATTTGAATAAATCATGTATTGTGATTGATTAGTTACCGTAATTTTCAGGGGAACGATAAATGGGCATTGCAGCATTGTAATAATCGGCGTAGATTAAATTAACTTTTGGATTCTGGTTTCGGATGAGGTCGAGTTCCGATTGAAGCAGTTTATTATGGTACTGAGAAAAATTATTTAGCCAATTAAGACAACCAGTTTCCGGGTCGTAATCTTTTTCGTTGGAACTTTTGAAATATGTAAGATAAGCTGCTGAACATCCGATCGGGAAATTCCCTGCTACCATCAGGGTCACTGCTCCGAGTTTTATCAATTCCTGCATTTCAATTTTTTTTTATTAAAATAAATATAAATCTTCAAAAATATATTTCAGTGCATGACACTTAACTTACATTAATCGTAAAAATTATTTCTTCGACAACTCGGAGAGCGAATAATCGGACGTCATCGACGCTTTTTCCTTGGAGAAACGCGTCGTTATAGTCGTTTCCTCCTATCTCTCCCACTAGGACAAGGGAGCTCTCGAGATATTTTTCGCAATCTGAACGTATATCGACAACAATTTATATAATAAACATCAATTATTATGTTTCAATTAATATTATTTAAAGTTGCAAGAGAAAAAAAAAACAAAAAAAAAACAAGCTTGCAATGTGGGCCTAGTTGCTATCTGGTGGCAACTTCCTTTATTATAAAATATTAAGATTAATATTAATAAAATTCCACAAGACATTATTTTTTGTGTTTTTTCGTTGATTAGCACATTGTTTTCACTTGACTTTTTGAAATAATATACAGATTGAAATAATTATGTTTTCCTTGATCAATATAATCATCTAACAAAATTATAAGCATGATATATAGATCAAAATTAATTTTGGATTGAATCGATGGGAAAAAATATTATTCTTACCTGCAGGTAATTTGTGGCAAAGTGTGGGCAAGAACATCTCATTAAACAAATTGAACTGATTCAATAGAGATACATTTGCCATTGGAATTTGGACCCAATTTCCTGGCAAAAAACGGATCCGGCAGCGCCGTAGCTCCCCCCACCGCGAAATTCACGCCGCCGCTCACATTCCCCCCGCTGTGAAATGGTGGTGTGAAAGGAAGCGCCAATTACCAGAAAATATAATGTTGAAAAATAATAAGAGAAATTAATCGTTAATTAAAGAGGTAATAAATGATTGGGGACAACGTATACCGATGAAGTCGATGATGAGGCCCTGTGGGGAGATGAAAGTATGTCTCACCGTACGGCGGCGAGGCGAAATTGGGCAGCGGATTTGACGGCGGGGAGAGGTGAAGGAGGTTTCCTGTGTCGGCTATCGAATCGCCGAAACTAATGATGGATTTGAAGCACGCGGAAACCTGTTTGTTTGGTAGTAACAGAATTATCAAAATAGTAATGTCTTTTACAAAATAAAGTTTACCTTTGGAAGAAGCAGTAGCAGCTGCAGAAGCCATGGTGTGCCTGTGTGTGTGAGAGAGAAAGATTTTGATGAAAGAAAAAAAAAACAGCAGTAAATGACAAAAATCCAAGTGACGATGACGTGTCGTCCATCCAACCAATTTATAACATATTATATAATTTATATTAATACTCTTGTGCTCTCATTACCCGGCCACCTTTAAAATATGAAGGCAACAAGTAGTGGGTGAGTGCCCCATTGGGGTTATTCTTTTCCTCTTTTTTACTAAATATATATATATTAAGTTTGCACTGATTACGATTTTCATTTCAATTTTCTGATAGGATCAAAATGTGACCCATTTATTCGATGCTACATCCGGTGAAGTACACTGAGTGCTTTTTAACCGTTGATTTGCACATAATTATCACAATCACCAAGTATATAGTATTACGTAATTATTTTACATTTGCATCCACATCAATCATCAGCACGCATATTCGTGCAACTGTATACGCACTAGTATGCAGATATAAATATGCAGAGTGTTAATTGAAACAAGAAGAAGAAGAAGAATAAGCTTACAAGCAAAGATTATACTCTCTGTGGACTTGTAATAGCACATGTTAATACTCATAAACATGAGCATGCCGAGATATGGAAGGACAAATAATACTTGTCAGTTGAGGAGTGGTGTAGGTCCCGTCGAACAAGCTTTCGGCTATCAATCTGTAAGCTGCCTCCGTGAAATGAATACCATCCCAACTAGCAAACAACGAAGGATCGTCACAGCATGTCGCTGTAGAAAAACTACATACTGCCGATGCATTGTAATTGTATGGCCCACCAGCTCCACAGCAAGCTCTAAGAATTCCCTTTTTATCAAATCCTGCATCATTAATAAGTTAGAGATAACTAATTGTGTATAACTTCGAAATAATTGTGATTATGAAGTACAGAAATTAGTTACCAAATTCGTCTGGGGATAGATAAAAACGCATTGCAGCATTGTAATAATCCGCGTAGATTATGTCGACTTGAGGATGAAGCTCTTGTATACGGTTCAATTCTTTCTTGAGTAGCTTATTGTGGTACCTTGCGAATTTGTTCAGCCAATTGAGACATCCGGTTTTCGGGTCGTAATCTTTTACGGTACTTGATTTCTTGAATTGCGTTAGATGAACAGGCAAACAGCCTATTGGTAGATTTCCAGGCACTAACATTGTTGTAACACCAAGCTTAATCAGCTCCTGTTGGTAACAACATATAAGTCAAAATAAATATATGCAAGTCAAAATAAATATATGCAGGTTTCAGTTATGCATGCTAGAGAAAATTCGAACACCATGGTATCTGCCAGTTATAAAAATTCATAGAGCAAGAATTTTACGAAATAAGTAAAATTGATGAATTGGGAGCTCGTTTTTACGTACTTGAATTGTGGATCCAATGTAATCGACAACTGGTGGTACAAACGATTTAACAACTCCGTAGGTCGCCCCTTGCTCAAGTGGATGGTTGTAATCGTTGCCTCCTATTTCTCCCACCACAACCAGAGACCTTTCAAGGTATTTCTTACTACAATCTGTGTTTTTTTATGATGTCACAAAAAAAATTACCTTTTAGCAGAAAAATCGTTACAAGTACTTTCTTAACATAAATAAATAAATACAAAATAAATAAATAAAATAAATAAATACAAAATAAATAAATAAATACAAAATAAATAAATAAATACAAAAATTCGTTGGCCATTTTTAATAGAGATTTCTTTGTTTCAGCACTGAGGAAGAAAATGGACTAAACATTACCAGGAATGGTGGACAAGAAACGTTTGAACCAATCCAATTGAGTTCCCAAAGACACATTTGTATCCTGATTATGGAACCCTAATTTCTCGTAAAACTCATAATCAAGCGCCGTCGCTCCAGCCACCGCAAAATTCACTCCTTTGCTGAAACCCCCATCGTGCAATTCCCCACTTTCTCCGCCGATGTACGGCGGCACGAACGGCAGCCCAAATCTCTGAGCTGCAAAATTAGAAACCAATACTGTGCGAATATATACATACAATCGTCTGCACATATATAAAGTTATTTCAACTACTCGCGTATACAATACCGATGAAATCAATGACGAGACGGCCATCGGAGAATCTTCCGGTAGGGCGGTGGAAGAATGTCCGGCCGTAGGGTGGAAGACCGCCGTGGGGCTTCTTGTCGGATGGGCTGAGCAGAAGCACATTACCGGTGTCTGCGAGCGAATCACCAAAGCTAATAATGGATTCGTAGCATCCAAATTCCGATTCTCTGATCGCCGCTGCTGCCGATAATGAGAGTGATTGTGCGAGTAAAATCGAGATCACTGCATATGCGACTGTCATTTTTGTGGCAGAGAATGGAGCAGCCTCCACTTTCATCAAAATGGCCACAGAACAAGGGCGAGTGGGGTACCAACATTTGATATTATATTAAATATTAAATATTAAATATTAAATGATTATTTGATAATTCAACTTTGAAATTTAGCAGCATAGACTATTTCAACTATATGAAGCTGCAATTTAGCATTGTCTCAAATTTTGGGGGAACAGTGTAAACTGGGAAAATATATCACATAATTTGCATAATCACTAATTTAATTAAAGGAGTTTCAATGATGATATTTTGAATATAGTGTTCAATATATTCATTTTACTTATTTAGACATAACATATCTTTCTTTCTGAGACATTTTAGATGGGGAAAAATGAAATAAAGATATTGTTATTCATTGCTGCATTAAAACCGTTTGAAAATGCGATGCTTAAATGGGGAGCTGTTAGTTTCCGGTCGAACCGTCGAAGGAAAATGGGACGCGCAATGAACTAGTACACCAATTGCCAAGTAATGTATATTTCATTATTCATTAATTTTCCCCATCAGCAAGCCTATTTCTTACAAGTTACATCGTATGTGTGTATATATATGCTTCATGCAGATATAATAGATATAATACAAACATAAGCTTACAGGAAAGATATGGAAGGACAAATAGTAGTTTTTACTCGAGGAGTAGTGTAGGGCCCGTCGAACAAGCCTTGTGCTATCAATCTATATGCTGCCTCTGTAAAGTGAAGCCCATCCCAGCTAGCAAACGAAGAAGGGTCGTCACAGCATGTAGCCGGAGAAGAACCGCATTCTGCCGATGCATTGTAATTATACGGCCCTCCAGCTCCACAACAAGCTCTAAGAATTCCCTTTTTACTAAGTCCTGCTTCATCGTTAATTTAGAAACAATTAATTACCTACCAATGATTTTTGCTGATTTCGGAAAAAAATGGGATCGAAGTAAAGAAAGTCAATACCATATTCATTTGGGGATAGATAGAAACGCATTGCCGCATTGTAATAATCCGCGTAGATTATGTCGATCTGATCAGGATTAATTAGCTCTTGTATACGGTTCAATTCTTTCTTGAGTAGCTTATTGTGGTACCTTGCAAACTCGTTCAGCCAATTAAGACATCCGGTTTTCGGGTCGTAATCTCTTATGGTACTCGATTTCTTGAATTGTGTTAGATAAACGGGCAAACAACCTATCGGTGGAATTGCAGGCACTAACATTGTCTTGACACCAAGCTTAATCAGCTCCTGTTTAATCAGTAACAGAAATTAAAATACCGAATACAGGTTTATGGACTAATCAGATAATGCTTTCTTTAAGTACGTACTTGAATTGTCGATCCAATGTAGTCGACAACAGCTGGAGCGAATGATTGAATAACATCGTAAGTTGCGCCTTGACTGAGTGGATGGTTGTAATCGTTGCCGCCTATCTCTCCCACCACAACCAGAGACCTTTCGAGGTATTTCTTACCATCTGTTATTATTATGTAATAAACAGAAAATTAATTCCAACAGAAAACTCATGATTTAGAAATATTATGACTGGATTCTTTCAACCAAGATGAGAAGTCGCATTTCTGGGTCATGCGACTTTAGTAGGTGGGAAACTACTATTCTCACTAGATATTTTTTTCCAGAAATTAAGAATAATAACAATTAATTGATTAAACAAAACATAATTAACCGAAGGATCAGATTAGACTAATAAAATATTTTTGGGCAAATTTATATAAAGTTCACCCTTTTCTGGATTGTAATTAGATAATCACTAATTATGTTTTAATTTAGTTATCCAATTTTAAATTAGGTTTAACTACAAATTTCATTTTCAGGAATAAAATTGAGTGATCTTACCAGGAATTGTGGATAAGAAACGTTTGAACCAATCCAATTGAGTTCCCAGAGATACATTCGTAACTGGATTATGGAATCCTAATTTCTCGTAAAACTCATAACCAAGCGCCGTCGCTCCAACCACCGCAAAATTCACTCCTTTGCTGACACCCCCGCCGCGTAATTCCCCATTTTGTCCGCCGATGTACGGCGGCACGAACGGCAGCCCAAATCTCTGAGCTGCAAAATTAGAAACCAACAGTGTGGAGTGCCAAAATATAATCGTCGGTGGATATACAGTTCAATCGCGAGTACAACAATTGTTTACTACCATACCGATGAAATCGATGACGAGACGGCCATCTGAGAATCTTCCGGTAGGGCGGTGGAAGAAAGTCCGGCCGTAGGGTGGGCGAGCGGCGGCGGGCTTATTGTCGGCTGGGCTGAGCAGAAGCAGATTCCCGGTGTCCGCAAGCGAATCGCCGAAACTAATAATAGATTCGTAGCAACCAAATTCCGATTTCCCGTTTGCCGCTGCTGCCGATGATGATTGTGCGAGTAAAAAAATCAAAATTATTGCATATGCGACTGCCATTTTTGTGGGAATGATGATAGTGTGAATAAAATCAAGTTTATTGCATATGCAATTTCCATATTTGTGGAAGACGTACTTCGGTAGAAATTCGCAGTGAAGTGGGATTAATATACCGAACGGGTAATTAGCAATTTAATTTTGGCTTTTAAAAATTCAAGAATATTTGCAATAATTAAAAAACTTTTTAACAATTTTGGGGAGCAAAAAGGAAACAGGGAAAATTTATCATAGATTATCTGGAGCTTGTACAAAATACTAGAAGATAGTTTGTCTCGAAATACAGTGAACTTCCATTGTTACTCTGTCGACAAATTACAGAATAAACTATAAAGAACTTCCTATTGCGGATTCGGAGGTCGGCTATTAGCGGAAGAAACACGCGATCCCCACTCCAGTAATTCTTTGCTAGTATCATCTTTGTGAACCAGCACTTCGATGAAACACAACGATTCCTTGTACGTATCTGTCGCAGCTGCTATTGCTTTCACCAGTTCATCTTCCGTTTTCACCTGGTTTTTCCAGCGACCGATGTGTTATAATTCAACAATCGATAAATCGAGATTAGTTCAATAAAAAAATGTCAAATGTATGCTAACCTTGGCAGTCCAGCAGTTGCCCTCTCCATTGTGGATAGCGTCCACAAGGCCCGTGTAGTTCCAATTCTTGATCACGTTGTACGGACCATCGTGAATTTCTACCTCAATTGTGTATCCTCCGTTATTGATGAGGAATATAATGCTCTTCTGCCCGCATCTTATCATAGTTGAAATATCTTGAGCTGTAACCTGTACTTGTGACAATCAAATTCATTTGTTAATGATTGCGTGATGTTAATTCGAAAAGTTGTTCGTTAATGTACACACTCTCCTCACCTGGAAACTTCCATCCCCGATGCAGGCAATAACACGTTTATCCTTTGCAGCCTGAGCATAACCAAGAGTTGCTCCGACAGACCACCCGATAGATCCATACTGCATCTGGAATTCATATCTGTGTAAACACGAGGCTTAGTTGGAAACTTGGAATAGGGTTTCACATAAATGATTCAGATCACTCGGTTTAGTACGCAACGAGACTAAAATACCCGCAATTCTCAGGGAGGCGGAGTTTTTGACAGTTAAACCATGAATCTCCTGTCTCTGCAATTACTGCACTGTCTCCACTAAGCATTTCCTGTAATTCAAGTATATATTGGTTCATATCATATCATTTATCGTACAAATTATTGAAGTACAAAAAAAAATGGTAGAAGGTCTTTCTATACCTGTATGTGTTTGAAGAGAATGTTGACCCTGAGAGGCTCGTCCTTATCGAGCTTCAAAGCAATGCCAGGTGGAACATATATCCGACTGTAATTCTCCATGGCAGTGTTGTTCTTCTTCAGTTTCTTGGCCAAGGCATTCAGAAAATCCGCCATGAAAACCCAACCAATGGAAGGCCCGTTGCCTATCGTCACACGGTTAGGCTCCACAATGACCGATTTCTCCTTCTTGATCAGCAGAGAGTATCCCACCGAGCTGTAGTCATTAAAAATGGGGCCCACAAATACATACGCATCAGCCGATTCCACAATCTCCCCACAGAAGGTGGTACTCACCGCACCCCAATATGTACCGAGGAAGTGCGGGTGCTGCTCAGAGACGAGGCCCTTGGCTGAGGGCATGACTGCTATTGGATAGCCACAAGCGTCAGCCAGGTCGAGAAAAGACTGTTGTGCCCTTGAAACCCTCATCTTTGGACCTGCTATGATGACTGGTTTGACAGCTTTGTTTAGAAACTCGGCTGTTGCTTCGACTGCTGCTTCTAAACCGAGCTGATTGCTTATCCTGCAAGAAATTCGACAAAGAAGGAGGAATCAATCATACGTTGGGAAACCGATTGAGAGAGAGAAATGTGGGAGGCTTACTTTGGTGCAAGAAAAAAGGGGACAGGTTCTCTTGCAAAAGTTGGGTGTGGAATTGCAGGCAAATTGCAGCTTATGCTTATATAAACTGGCTTACTTTCCTTTAATGCAGTGGAAATTGCTGTATCGATTAATTCATGAGCATCTTCCAAATTGTTAACAACTGCCTGTAATTAATTAACACAGAGTACGAATCTCGTTAGGTGATCTACGATTCACTGTAATTAATTACAATTTAGGGCTAATTCGAATTCAATTTGAATTTTACCTGAGCGCAGGTGACGGTCTGAAAACACCGTAGCTCCTGGGAGAAATCCGGCAGACCGATAGTATGGTGGAGGATCCGACTCGTACCGTAATCGTTGGAGTTGGGCCCACCGACGATGCAGATGATTGGCAAGTTCTCACTGTAGGCGCCGGCGATGGCGTTGATGACGCTGAGACCGCCGACGGTGAACGTCACCACGCAGGCGCCGACTCCATTGGCACGCGCGTAGCCGTCGGCGGCGTAGCCCGCGTTCAGCTCGTTGCAGCAGCCGACCAAATTCAGCTCCGGCTCGTCTATGAGGTGGTCGAGTAAAGTTAGGTTGAAATCGCCGGGAACAGAGAACACGTCACGCACGCCAATCTGAACTAGCCGCCGCGCCAGGTGGCTGCCCATCGTCCCGCTTGATGGCATTTTTTATTTTATTTTTCGATCTCAGAAGAAACTCTGATTTGATTGTAGATATGAAAGATTGTAGCGGTTCAGTGTGTATATATAGCTTTCTGCTTCAGTTTTGATGAATACTGATACTGAACTCTGTGGGCAGTTTCGGGATATATGAAGAAGATACAATTAAATATCTGATGGTATTTTATTTTGATTTCTGTAGTGGCATTTGTTTTTAGAAAAGGTTTAATGGTAAATTTGTCGTTTAGTTAGGGTTTTATATTTAAATAAATATCTAAAGTGTCGGAGTTTTGGAATTATTGATTCACTTTTGGGAAGAAGATGGTTTTGCTTTAGCATATCACAAAACCAGAGGCGGTTTCTTTAATTTGATTAGTGGTTTGGGATTTAGCATTAGTGGTGTTTTCTCTGCATTCACCAATGGTGACGCACACGCTCACTATTGTCCGAAACACTCTAGCCGACATAGTGTATTTAATACACTTTACACCCCTAAATTATAGTATATATAACATTTACCCCAAAGGTTTCTTTTTTTTTTTTAACACTTGACTTTCAAATATTATCTAATTTGTACTATAAATTTTAAAAAACCTTCACACCCTTAGAAATTATAATAGCCATTTTTTGTTTTATAGAACAATTAGAAAAAAACAAAAAATAAAATAAAAATCAGCAGAATCTTAAGTTACAAATACAGGAGAGTTCTTGCAAGAGAGAACATAATAAAATCTTTTAATTACCTGACAAATAATACTGCCATTGTTGATAAATATCACAGTGACTGCCCAGCATGAAAAGCTTCTAAACCAGCATCGGTTCCGATCCAAGTGAACCCCGTTCCTTTCGACATTCCTCTCGCTTTCATCAACTCCCTCAATTGGCTCACACTATCCCATTTCCCAGCATCAGCTAACGCGTTCGACAAAGCAACATACGCACCAGGCCTACTCTCTCCACTCACTTTGAAAAGCTCGTTCGCAGCTATTTTCGCCAGCTCCACATCAGCATGGAGTCTGCAAGAACTCAGCAAAGCTGCCCAAACGTCGGAATTAGGCCTTTCGGACATTTGCATCACGAATTGAAGCGCCTGGTTCAAGCTCCCCGCACGCCCTAATAGATCTACCATGCATGCGTAGTGCTCCATTCTTGGCTTCATCGAGTAAACCCGATCCATGCACTCAAATATCTCCCTTCCTTTGGCAACTAATCCTGCATGGGCACATGCAGAGAGTGCACCGAGAAAAGTAACGTAATTTGGTTTAGTGTGACGTTCGCTTATCATTCTATCGAAGAGTTCGAGCGATTCGTTTGGACACCCGTTTTTCCCGTATCCATCAATCATTGAAGTCCACGAATAGACGTTCTTTCTCGGCATGGAATCAAATATGGATCTCGCATCATCGGTTCCCCCACATTTGGAGTACATGTCTATCAGAGCACTGCCAATCTTTATGTCTGTGAAAAGCTCGGTTTTCATTAACTGCCCTTGGATCTGCTGGCCGATTTCGAACGCTGACAAAAGAGAACAGGCACCGATAATACTTGCAAAAGTTGATATAGTAGGTCTGAAATTTAGGCTCTGCATATCGATGAATATATGTATTGCCTTCTTAGCCGTCTCGACTGATTTACTGTATCCTTCGATCATGGCATTGTAAACCACCACATCTTTCTCCACAGTCTTGTGAAAGACATCCTCGGCATCTTCCAAACGACCTTGGTTCATGTACCCTGTGATCATCGATGTGGAACAAATCACGTTCTGATCCAACATTAAATCGAAAACTCTTCTTGCATACTCAACCCTACCACTCTTCACATACGAGTCAACTAACGCGGTTTAAAGCACGTCATCAACTTCAACGTTGGATTTCAATATCTGGGCATGAACCTCGCGCCCCGTACAACGTAAACGTGACCCTGCATTACCACTAGTTGAACCCTTCAAAATCATCGAAAATGTGTATCCGTCGGGCTTTTCATTCAAGAGGCACAGTTCTCGAACCAAATCAAAAGATTTCTCGACAAACCCGTGCTTTATATAGCCCGATATCATGTAATTGTAGGCCGATAAAGTTCGGCGAGGCAATTCATCGAACATCTGGCCCGCGTCTGACAAACAGGAGGACTTGACGTACATGATGAGGAGTTTGATGGAGATATTGACATTGGGTTTGATACCAGATTTGAGTATGAGGGGATGGATCTTCCGGCCGTGTGAGGGATGATCTGAGTTTATGTAATTCTGTAGAGCTGATGCCACAGAAAACTCAGTTACAGAGCTAACCTCTGTAAGCCGAAAATTCGTATTGGGTTGGTCTAGAACTCTGATTTTGCTTAATATTCCATGTCTCATCGTCTTCTTCCCATTTGGTATCAAAGAATCACCGTTTCAACTGTAATTTCAAGAACTCAACGACTGAATGATTTTTTCTTTCTGTTTTTTTTTCTTCCTCCTTCTGGGCTCTCGCACATTAATTGGAGAAAGGGCTTATCATGGGCTGCAATGAACCCAATAGCAAAGAATATTGGGCCCCATAAATAAAATTAAAGATATGCATATTGCTCCACACTCCAGGTTAACGATCAAATCGAAATTAGCCTTTTTTTTACAACTTGCAATTATTTTTCGTGAAATGAAAAAAATATATATACTCTTTTGGGGGCGGAAATTGGTACGAAATTTTTTATTTCCGTCGATTTCGATCCGACATTTTTCGATTTTGGAATTATATTTTTCAATTCAAATTCTGAAATTCTGACTTTTCTGAAATTATTTGGATCGAAATTGAAATATATATGAGATTCTGATTTCCGATCCAATTTTCAGTTCCGAAAATAATCCAAAAATGTCAGTTTTATCCTGAATATTACACTTAAAAATACCAATATTATTGTGTATTTTATATTTTAGGTGATAAAAAATTAGAAATTTCCGAATTCCGATGATTCCGATCCAAAATTTTATTATTTTGGAACAAACTCTTTCATTCCAGTTTTCAAAATTCCGATTCCAATTTAGTTTTTCATTTACGAATTCTTTTTTCTTTTTCGAAATGACTAATTCCGATCCAATCAGTTCGATTTATTATTAAAATTCTGCTCAGCAGGTGCATAATAAAATATTACCAATTCTTAGATCTGCAATCTGTGTCAGATGCAGCAGCCCAAATTGATTGATAGTTTGATTGGAATGCATTGATTTTAATGTAAAGTTAGTAGTAGGACGCTTCACTTAGGTTGTCAAGAAAAGTCAATAGGAATTATGGGTGAGTTATATCAATGACAAACTATTAAATGACATTAATTATATGTGCAGGTTTTATTTATAAATTATTGTCTCTCTCTCTCTCCACAGTCCAATTTTAACAATAATTAATTCACTTTTCTTATGAAAATCAAAATATCAGCCTTTTCTATTAAAATACAGCCTTTTTTTTCTCAATATTTTTGGCATTTACCTAAAATTGAATTCACAGTAAATTCATATTCTCCTGCTGCATCGCGTATTATTTAACGTCGTCAATTACAGATTCGTCGTGGCGTTAAATTATTACCATAATCCAGCTGTCATATAATACGCTGAATCTGTAACAATAATATATATATATATATATATAAATATACATATATAGGTTCAGAGTGAAAGCCGGAAAACAGAGTCGGAGAAGTTGCCGGAGAAATGAGACCCAAGATTTATCTATTTGGAGATTCCATCACTGAAGAGTCCTTCAGCGACGGCGGATGGGGTTCTTCTCTCGCCAATCACTTTTCTCGCACTGTAAGATTTGTGTTTGTGTGTGTGTGTGTGTGTGTGTGTGTGTTTTACTGTGTGTAAGTATATATATATATATATATATATATATATATATATAATTTGTGTGTTTGATCGTGGTGTATTAATTAAGGCGGATGTGGTGCTGAGGGGTTACAGTGGATACAACACGAGGTGGGCTCTAAAGGTGAAGGAGAAGGTGTTCCCGCCGCCGCAGCAGAGCGGCGGCGGCGACGCTCCTCCGGCGGCGGTGACGGTGTTCTTCGGGGCGAACGACGCCTCACTCCCGGACAGGTGCAGCGGGTTCCAACACGTGCCCCCTGATGAGTACAAACAGAATCTTCTCTCCATCGTCGCCTTTCTCAAGGTAAATAAAATATTAAAAAAAAAATTAAAAAATTCAAGAACCCCACCGGCCACCGCCCCCGCCGCCGCACACACAATCGACACGCCTGCACATACCACCAGGCCAACACTCACTCACATGCACAGCTGTTTTTTGTCTGCTCTCCCAAAAATTACAACTTTGCCATTGTTGACTGTTGGAAAACCAAGGAAAAGGGCAGTAGTTTATGTGTTCTTTTCAATCCACAAGATCCCTTTTTTAATTTCTGAATGGGTTCTTTTTAAGTAAAGGGTAGATATATTTTAATTAATGGTAATAATAATATAGTTTTAATTGTAATAATTAGACTTTGTTTGGAAGACAATTGCTCAACACAATTAACCTAAAATAATAAAGCAGATGCATCATCGCTATCATTTGCTTCCCACTTACTGCAAATGCATGAAGTGCCCTGTGCCCTGTCATTTTCATTACCCTTCCATTACTGTAGTTGCCTGTATTCAAGAAAAACACACACACACACACACAAACAGATGGTTCTTACACCTTCACACACACACACTAAAAACAGAGTAGCTTCGTTTGTTGCCCAAATTATGTTTAATCTGTCTTAATTGTATATTGTAGTTGTTCCGATTTTATTTTGAAATTTTTACGTTCGAAAAATTTCGATCTAAATGAAAATGATGTGATGAATTCAGAAGCAATGGCCGTCGACTTGCATTATCCTCATCACACCTCCACCGATCGACGAAGCTGCAAGGCTACTGTAAATCCCTTTTCCGCGCCCGTATTTAATTTATAAAAATCATGCTTTTTGCTAATTCGATAATTATTCTAAAATAATATTCGGTGTGCGAAAAAAAATAATTTATGCAGGCACCCTTATGTGGACAACCCGTCGGGCCTTCCTGAGAGAACAAACGAGGCTGCTGGTATTTACGCCAAACAATGCCTTGCTGCTGCAGCTGAATGTGGTCGTCCATCGATAAATCTTTGGGAGAAAATGCAGCAATTTCCGGGATGGGAAAAGGCTTACTTGAGGTAAGAATTTTGAATTATCGAATTAATAATTTTAGCACGTTGTCACCGAGTCGGGACCAGGATAAATTATTATTTTAGTCGAGGTTATTAATTTATCGAGTTTCTACCGTATATTAGTATACATATTATATAAATAACTTATTACAGAGAAACTATTATTTAATCGAGGTTATTAATTTATCGAGGTTCTACTGTATGTATATTAGTATATCTGAATATTGAGAAAATTATTCTTTTAGTATTAGCATTTTTTTTTGACTCGATAATTGACAACGAAAAATGCAGAGACGGCTTACATCTGACTTGTAACGGAAATAAGTTTGTGTTTGAGGAAGTGGTTAAGCGGCTAAAGGAAGAAGGGATAAGTCTGGAGAATCTACCGGCGGATCTTCCGCTCATATCTGAGATCGATACCGATAATCCTCTCAAGTCTTTCGATAATTAGTTGTAAGAGGAGGAGGAATATTCTGCTTATGCGCTTAATTCGCCATAAAATTGCATTGGAATGAATGATATAGTTTTATACGAGCTTAGATGCTGAAAAAGTGTACATTTTTCGTGTATGCTAACGTTGTTGTTTTTTTGACCGACTTTTAATAATCTGTTTTCAGTAGCTACCGAAGAACTTATATTTGTTCGATATTATGTAGAAGTACTTTAGTTTATGTGCATTCCACCCCGTGAATACAAAATTCTTGCTTCGCCATTGCTATTACCAGAAGCAAATAAAAAATGTTTAATTTATCAATCGATAAAACTCGGAAACATTTGAAATTACAAGTGTCTAAAATGATGATGTGCATCGGGTCCACCGGGGCTTACTCTCCCAGGCCACTCGTGGTGACTCCGATTCGTCTTCACCGTTACAAACCGAGCCTCCAATTCTCTTCTCGCAATTGTTATAGGCTTGACCGAACGACGAGCTGTAGTATCTGCAGAGCAGAGCAATAATAGCCAAGTAATTATAAGCCACACAGCAAACTTCAACATAGCCATTATGAACTCGAATAAGTAGTACTGATCCTCTATTTATATACTTTCTTGATCTTTTGTTTAATATCGAAAAGTGGTCTTGTATTTTATTCAAACAGAGTCATTTGCCGTTTGAAAAAGAACGAAACTAATACTCGTTAGTCGTTACCCAGTCGTGCGTTTGAGTATGAGGTGGACAACATCACCATGCACTTGAATGACTTTATGTCAGCAATTCACTCATATGTAAGTTAATTAGTATACAAATTAAGTATTCATGCCATTGCAAAAGCGCCGAAATATTGATGGACAGTGACTTACAGCAAGACATCATCGGTTTTTTTAGTAGATGCTGATGCAGAAACGGAATCTCATTGGATCGGCATTACCACTTATAGTTGATTAGCAGAAACAGAAAACCAAAAATAGATTTCGTCTAGAAATCAGCATAACGACTCACCTTTTACCAAAAGCAAATAAAATAAATAATCAAATAAACAAACAGGTTGCTTTTAACTCATATTAGCATTATCAATAAAGTTCTTTCGGTAAGAACGAACCAAACTTTAGACTGGTTTATCTTCATGTGAGTCGATGACTCGTGACCAAACACGCATTATCTCAGTTGACGATTCGACAACGAGAAAACAATGCTGAATTGTTGACTCAATATTTATATCCCATCTAATCTAATCTAACACCAATTTTGTGCAGCTAAAATCGGGAATTTTAGAAATCCCTAATTATAGTTTTAACCTATCTAAAGTGCTTCCTTAATCTCGCAGATGCAGCGGCGGCAATTGAAGAATCCAGCCTCGAATTCGAAGTGTCATCAGCTCTTTTGAATCGTTTATTCACTTGATAAACCGAACCGGCGAGTAAGAATTGGGGTTCGAACACAGAACGGCTGGTGAGTGAAATTGGGGTTTCTTGTAAAGAAGGAGCACAACCTGGGTACATGAGATTGGTGATATCTTCCAATGGAATCCTTAATTTTCTCTTCTTGTTCGATGAACAAATTGGAGTATTGTTCTCCTTTCCACCATTGTTGAAGAGTGCCATTTTTATGTATGTGTGTGTGTTGTGGTGTGTGTGTGTGTGTGTGAGATAGAGAGTGATCGAGAGAGATGGTGGAAAAGGGGAGTGAATGGAAGCGTATATATGTAGTAGAAAAATGGAAATGGATTTTTGATGTTTGCATTTGGATTTTGGAGGGGGTGGGAATAAATTGAATTTGGGGAAAATGAAAACCATTTTTGTTTGGTTGATTGGGAGGGAGGGAGGAGGATCTGCAATATTTTGCAATATAAAAAGCGCGCGCTATTTTTCGTTCACTAAACTTGAGGAGCGATGTAGTTTCAAATTTGCTGCGGTTTCCTTTTTTTGTTTTGGTGAATTTACTTAAAACCCCTCGGAAGTCAGAAACAAGCCGTTATTATATGGGGAAGTACTTTTCAATTTTCATTGGTCAGGCCCAGGTTTTAATTGGGCTAAATATTTATGGGCCGGCGCGTGATTATCAGTTACTTGTTACAGATTTAGGCCTGGTTCAATTCTCTTATGCACAGAAGGAATTTTGATTATATTATTTTTTTTTTAAATTTGCATTGTATGGGATTTATTTATAAAATCAAAGTTAAATATGAATTAAAGATGAAACAATTATTTTTTATTTTTTCTTCAGTTTTTTAGTCGGCCATACAATAATAATCACAGTGGAATAGATGCTAAAAATTTAATAAAATAGAAGCATTTAATCGGAACTTCATTTTTCTCAAGTGAGTTTATATAATTTTGTCAATCGAATACTTTATACTCTTCAATTAATAAAACTGAATAACCGTAACCAAATGAGGACTTATACAATAGTTCTTCATAGAAATCGGATGTATCAAATCGGAACATTGTAGTTTTTTAAAAAGTGAATATTAATTCCAAATTCATACCCAATGAAAAGAACGGAAATCAAAATTTCGGATTTTGGAATCATGAAACTTATTACATAACCTGAATTTTTCGGGTTGGATCCGACGAAATTGAAAATTTAATAAAAACATATATATTAAATTGATTTTATAAATACAATTTCCAGAATCTTCTTTTTTAGAAGAGTTATTTTTTGTGTTTTATTTATTTATATTTTTATATTTTTTAATGAGTTTAAATGTTTGGTTAAAGGGCTGTGATGGGCCATGAAAATCTGATCTTCTTATCCAGATCACAATACACAGGGAAACAAAGCAGCAACTAAAACACACACAGTTGAAAACTCAGAAGCAAAACCCAGCCAACGCGCAATCTTCTAAACATGGCGGGGATTGTGGGAGCTTCTTCTACTCTAGCAATATCGGCATCTACGCCATTCTCTTCTCTCTCTTCAAAGACGACTTCCTCTCTCTATCTTCATTCTGCTCCCGGTATGTATGCGAATACATGCACAATTCACAACCCCCCCCCCCCCCTGTTTTATTTTATTTTATTTTGCTTGTTGAGAAACCCTAAGTTTACAATGTTGCAGCTTTACTGTTAATTTTTTAGTTGATTTCACCTCCATAGTCGTCTAATTGAGTTATAATCTTCTAATTTCATGAATTTTGGATGGAATTATTGAGAATTGGAAGTGTGGGCATGGTGATTTGTGTGCTTAAAGATGATTTTTTTTCTTTTTTAATAATGGTGGTGGTGAAGGGCTGAGCTCAGGGAGGAAATTCTACGGAGGCATCGGAGTTCCCCTCAAGAAAGGGCGTTCTCAATTCCACCTCTCTATTACCAATGTCGCCACCGACATTAGTCCTACTCAAGAACAGGTACTAATTTTCGTCAATTCTAACCTCGTTTCGATACTCAATTGCATTTAGAACTCACATTTCTTCCACTTGTGCACAATTCCGCCTCAAATGCAATTTTAAGCGATTATTTCCCCGCCAATTTTATGTTATCTTTCTCCCAAAATCCTATGTGGCGTACTATTCAGGTCAAAAAGCTTGCGGCTTCCAAGGAGAACCAAAGGCCCGTTTACCCGTTCGCAGCTATAGTAGGGCAAGACGAGATGAAACTGTGCCTCCTCTTAAACGTGATAGACCCCAAGATAGGCGGTGTAATGATAATGGGAGACAGAGGCACCGGAAAATCCACCACCGTCAGATCTCTGACCGATCTCCTCCCCGAAATCAGAGTAGTCTCCGGCGATGCATTCAACTCCGATCCGGAAGATGCAGAAGTGCAAGGGCCCGAAGTACGAGACAAGATCATGAGAGGTGAAGAACTCCCCGTAGTTTCAATCAAGATCAACATGGTTGATCTGCCATTGGGCGCCACAGAAGACAGAGTTTGTGGCACAATCGACATCGAAAAAGCCCTAACCGAAGGAGTGAAAGCGTTCGAACCCGGTCTTCTAGCAAAAGCCAATAGAGGGATTCTTTACGTTGACGAAGTCAATCTCTTGGACGACCATTTAGTTGATGTTTTGTTGGATTCGGCTGCTTCTGGATGGAACACTGTTGAAAGAGAAGGTATCTCGATTTCTCACCCAGCCCGTTTTATACTAATCGGGTCGGGTAACCCGGAAGAGGGTGAGCTTCGGCCGCAGCTTCTTGATAGATTCGGAATGCACGCGCAAGTTGGGACAGTGAGAGATGCTGAACTGAGGGTTAAGATTGTTGAGGAGAGGGCTAGGTTCGATAGAAATCCGAAGGAGTTTAGGGTTTCTTACGAGGCGGAGCAAAATAAGCTTCAAGAACAGATTACTGCTGCTAGGAAGTGTTTGTCGAAGGTTACGATTGATCATGAACTCAGGGTTAAGATATCGAGGGTTTGTTCGGAGCTGAATGTCGATGGATTGAGAGGGGATATTGTTTCGAATAGGGCGGCGAAAGCTTTGGCTGCACTTAGAGGGAGGGATAAAGTGACGGTGGAGGATATTGCTACCGTGATTCCTAATTGCTTGAGACATAGGTTGAGGAAGGATCCGTTGGAGTCGATTGACTCGGGTTTGCTTGTGATTGAGAAGTTTTACGAGGTTTTTGCCTGAGGGAGGTAAAATTTTTTTTTTTTGACAAGTATATTTCCCCCCCTCATTTTATGTTGCAGATGTAATAATAAAGGATGATGATATTGAACTTTTTGGTATTGATTTTCTTCTCTATTTATGTTGAAATTTTAAGTTTTTATACTGTACCTAATGTGAAGTGTGATATTTATTTAAGTGTATATTAAGATTGAGAATATATAGAAAAATGCTGCTCTTGAACAAATGAAATTAAAGAACTTTTGATGATCATGTAATATGCAGATCATATGTCTATCTAAATGCACCATATTTTAATTGTATGTATTTCTAACTTTCTATGAATATATTATCTGTTTGAAAAGAATTGAAATGAATTTTACTTACCTGAGTAGAAATATGGACAGTAAAGTTACTTAATCAAACACAGTCCCGTAGCTCAGTTGGTTAGAGCGTTGGTCTTATGAGCCGAAGGTCGCGGGTTCGAGCCCCGCCGGGACTACTTTTTTTCATTTTGTTTTAAGTACTATTTCGTGTTTTGACTGGGCCTTATTACTAATTAAAGTTTTGGTTCCTCTACTGGGCCTTATTATTTATTAAACTTTTTTTTTCTCTCACTTATGGGCCTTATTATTAATTATTTATATTATTAATTAAATAAAGCCCATCACTATAAGCTTATAATAGTCCCTTATTATCCCATACATTGCAGAACCAATTAGATCATATTTTCACTCGATCACATAAACATGTCCAAATTGAATAATTAGTATCTTTTACAAAAAATAAAAAAATTGCATTTAGAATAAATCCTTTTAGCCAACAATTGTCCCAAAATGAATTTTGTCTTCTAAATAACAACACCAAACGACAGCGTTTTGGGTGATAATGCTCAGTAACCAAGTTGGGGATAATTAAATATAAAATATATCAAACAAACAAACAAACAGATATTCTTTAGGTCTCAAATTTCGCGACTGTTTTCAACTTATGAAAATTGGCAAAATATCCAGAAAATGTTATAAATGAGTAAAAATGTCCCTACAAACAGCTCATGAAAATAAATATAAGAATTAAAAGTCAGGGTTCCAGCTGTCACAACACTAGTCGTTGCTAATTAAGACATAACAATTTGTAATTATGCTTAATTTCAAAACCCCCAATCATTAGTTTATAGTAGTGATAATTTCGAAGTAGGAAAATAAATAATTAAAATATTATCCACCTTACGGCCTAAACACGCCAGCATTATTATTTATTACCATATATATCCATCCACTCTCAATTATATTTCCCCAATTGTTCAAAAGAACAAAGATGAGTTTTTTTTATAAAGAATGTTTTTTTTTAATTAAATATTTTTTAATATAAAATGTGGAATCAAGAAATGATAATTGAAAGGTAGCCACGGTTGGTTATAGTGTCGCTATAAGCAATAATGCTTCCATGGATAAAACTATGACGTTTGATTCGTCGGTTAAGCCCTCTGATTGAGGTGGTAAGAGATTATTTAATTTTTTTAGGGTTCGAACAAAGACAAATTAGACAGGTTCGAATCAATTTGTTCAACTCTTTTTTTTTTAGAGGTCAGCAGCCGCTGGGCCATGGCAGATTTCGATCAATGCAGCTACCCACCTTTTGTTCTTTCCTTTCCTTTTTTTTCCCTTCTGCCTCAAGTCTGTACATATATATATATATATATATATATATATATATATATATATATATGCATTGGTGTATTTCTTCTCTTTCACTCAAACTCTTCTATCCCACTTCAATTGCCATCACTGCTTTCACTTGTCTTTTGCTTGATTTTTGGAGGGCCTTCTTCTCTCTGGTATGTGTTTGTTTGTTTTCCTTTTATTACAACAAGAATTCTTGAAAGAAATTACAGGGGTTTTATGTAAATCTTGTGGATGACATTGATTTTGATTTTTGATTAATGTGTATGATTGGAGTTGAGAAGCATTTGGTACTAGATTAAATTGAATCCTGCATCATGCTTTGTAGTTACAGATTGACTTAGGGGGAGTGAGTTATGATCTTTTGTCTTTGTTGATTATGTTTTATCAGAGTCGATAAGGTTTTAATGATTCCGTAAGAATCGAGGGGGGTTGTCTTATCTATATTTTGGGGCTTATCCTGAGACTTGGGTTGATGTTTTTATCAATAAAAATCTCATCTTTCTTATGGATCTACGAAATCCCAGTTTCCTGAAAATTCGAGAAGTTGCCATAGCCTCGTAGTTTGATGAAGTTTTCGAATAGGAAAATGCTCGTTTCTCTGATTTGGTTTTGTGCCTGGATCAGTGAGCCATTGTGTGCTGGTGAATCTATAGGTTTTGTACTGAAGATAAAACAAATTAATTTCGTTTAAATCGTGTTCTTGATTTGTATCGCTAACTGTTTAACCAAATGTCGGAAAAATCGTGTTGAAATCCTCTCTCCGAGGTGAAATTTAACTTTGTTCGTTTATCGAGATTCGTATTTGGAGTTCTGCTGCAAGAAATACTTGCATGTAGAAAAACAATCAGTATCATACAGAACCCAAAGCTGTCAAATTATAAAGAAAATAGAAACGTCGATTCTGGGGATTGTATTTTGTATAGATGACTGATGTACGTGCAAGTTTCGTATTTGATATTTTTATGTGATAGTATACGACTTGTGCAGGGTATTCTAATCACCCGTATTGAGCAATCAGAATGGGGTCAGGAGTTTGGTTTAAGAATATAATCAACAAAAAGAAAGTGAAGGGAGATAGATCACAGAAAGTGAAGGTTTGTAGCTCTGGATGCTCCGCCTTTCGTATCTTCGTTTTTTCGTTTCTTTAATTCTTGTTTTCGTTATTAAGCAGAGATATTCGGCACCTGCAAACATAAACGGCTACAAAGAAGAACTCTGCTCGGAGAACGAGTGTGCTGTACTAAGCAACGGTGCTTCTGCGGTCAGGCGTCGACCCTCTATAGAAGATGCTGCTGCTATTACGATTCAGACTGCGTATCGGGCTTATTCGGTACATAATGTTCCTTGCTATTATTATTATTTATTGCAATATTACATATGGTTGCTCTGTTCTTTCGATAAAAAAAAAAAAAAAAAGTGTAACTAAAATCAAGAATTGACTGTGTAATTTTCCACATCCTGATTTAGGCGAGAGGAATATTCCGTCGAATGAGAGGAACTGTGAGGCTACAGAATCTGGTGCAGTGCGATTCTATCAAGAAACAAGCGTTGACCACACTGAGTCATCTCCACTCGTGGAGCAGAACTCAGTCCCAGATTAGAGAGCGCCGAGTTCATATGGTTACTGAAGGCCGTATTAGGCAGAAGAAACTCGAGAGTCAGTTGAAGCTAGAAGCCAAACTTCATGACCTCGAGGTAATTATTACACTAAATGCCTTTCCATTGTATGGATGGTTTAGTACACGTGTATCTCTTATTATGAAGCTGTCTTAAATTTTATTTAATAATGAAAATTTGCGACAGGTGGAGTGGAGTGGTGGCTCCGAAACATTCGGACAAGCCCTTGCTAAAATACATCAAAGAGAAGAAGCTTCCGTGAGAAGGGAACGAGCTATGGCTTACGCCTTTTCTCATCAGGTTCGTCAACAAAAAAAAAAAAATTAATAATTAGTACCGTTTCTTGATTTTACTTAATATTTATGTATATCTGCAGTGGAGGGCAAATTCGAACCCGAGTTTTGGATCGGGAAATCACGAAATTAGTAAAGCGAATTGGGGGTGGAGCTGGATGGACCGTTGGATTGCTGCTAGGCCTTGGGAGAGTCGAATTGCAGCGCAAGAAAGTCCAAAGAAAGCGCAAATCGGTAAGCCGATTAAAAAAATGATTTCGCCAAAATGCAAATCAGCTGCTAAAGTCAAACTAGTCTCTCCTACTGGAAAGATTGCCGTAAAAGGTCGAAAACTATCTTACGAAGGATCTGAGAAAATAGCTGCTCGCAGAGTCAGCCCCAAAGGTGACGCGAAACAACCTAAGAACGAAAAGGAAGTATCTACTTGAGCGATCCGGTTTTCGGAAAAAAGGATGGATTATTGTTTTCAGATTTGTTATGTAATTAAAGCATGTGATTATGTATTTATTGTTTGTGGATATTAAATGTTGGTTTTATTAATTACTTGATATTTGATAGTATATAATAAAGTGTTTCTCTCACTTTTTTTTCTGCTTAATTCATAATAATTTTGCCAACTTATGCTCTTCACATTAGACGTGGTAAACTATGTACCGAATCGAATCGAGACGGAGTTTAACGGGTCGGAAAATCCATACCCGTAACCCGGTTGGTCGGGTCCAAGTGTGAGTGACAACTCATCAACCTAAAAAGCTATATTTATTATTAACATATATGCTCTCTCTCTCTCTCTCTCTCTCTCTCTCTCTCTCTCTCTCTCTCTCTCTCTCTCTCTCTCTATATATATATATATATATATATATATATATATATATATATATATATATATATATATATGTTGTTCATCTTCCACTAGGGGTGTGCGCGGGACATAAACCCGCGGGTTCTATCAAAACCCGCCCTCGTCCCGTCAAACAACGGTTCTTAATTTTGAAGAACCAAACTTGTGGGTTTTTAACGGGTTTACGATAGACGGGTCCATGGTGGGTTTGTAGTAGGACCCAACCTTCAGGGGTCGAAACCCGTTATCGTCTAAACTATTTTTTTCTATATATATAATTTATGAGTTTTTTGAGAGAATAATTAGAAACTAAAATGAATAACCTAAAATCTTAAATTCAAACCAAACATAAATAATGTAAATGTCAAGAGAAAATAAAAAAATACTATAAAACTAAAAGTAACTAATTCATAACTTAAAAGATAAAATTTAATAAAATAAATACAGCCTTTTCAAGCATAACCAACGCTATTCAGCTCCATTCAACACCATTTTCTTCCTTTTTTTTTCTGCCGTGTGTTGACTGTTGTATATATCGTTTTTCCAACATTTTCTTAGGGATTTTCATAATTTTTAGGTTTTATCTATCCTACACCCGGTGAAGGTTACACCAGGTGATTTTTTACCGTTGATCTACACATACCAATGTGGGTGTGTGTGTGTGTGTTTGTGTGTATATGAATGGTAGAGATCTACCCGGTGTATTTCACCCGGTGTAGGATCTCAAAAGCCTAATCTTTAAAGCTATTACTTCCACAATTATAGTTTAGTTGATTTATGTATTTGATACACTAGAGATACTTTATTTATTCATTAATACTATTAATTTATTATACTATAAAATGTAAGCAAAACGACGTCGTTTTGTATGGCGGGGCGGGACGGGTTTCACGGGTATTAAAAAAAATTGAACCCATCTAAGACCAAAACCCACGGTTCTTCACCATTTTAGGACCCAATCCTTTGGATGAATCTATCCGTCCGGTCCCAACGGGGCGGTTTTTCACGGGTTTGACGGGTGTAGCGGGTTGATGGGTTCGACTTGCTCACCCCTATCTTCCACCACATGCATGAAAAGCTTTACTTTGAGAGTATGTTGATGATTGAAGAGAGAGAAGATGAAATAAAATAAAATAAATGATTTAAATAGCTACCAAATTAGTTATTAATTAGTGGTAGCACGTGAGATAAGAATTAAAGAATTGAAATGAGAGTAATGTAACATTACTCAAGAAAGACCAGACAGACAGTTTGGATTATGACTGAAACTTATATAGGAAAATCTAATTCTGCTTTTGACTTTCCATTATTGAAAACGACTTCACTTTATTTTGGGAAAAATTGTACCCTTCAACAAAGTAAACTTAATTAATGAGTTAAATGCAAAAACCCCCCCTGTGATTTTCCTAAAGGCCAAAAAACCCCCTAGGAAAAAAAAAGTGACCAATACCCCCTTATAATGTGTTTAAGCAAGCACACTCAGCCCTTTTTGTTTTCATCCGTTGACCACTCACGAAAAGACGAAAAAGCCCTCCAGAAAAATATTTTCGACCTCCGGAATTTTATGACTGAAACAAACTTTTTGAAATTTTCAATTCAGTCCCCTGAATTTTCAATTAAGCCCTCTCTCCAATTGAAAAACACACAATAACACACAAATACACACACTGCTCTCTGCCCATGTATACACACCTCATCCCACCACTGCCGTCTCCGCCGCTATCTTTTATCATCATACAAATCTCAAACCCACTCGAGATTCAACCCATCTCCGTCAAAATCTCCGCCCAATTAAAAAAAAGGGGGATTTTTTTCAACCCCCAAGGTGGAGGGACGTTGATCCGACGAGTTTGCTCCCGAAGAAAACCGCCGGCAAAAGGCCGCTGGAGCTCATCCTCGATTTCCTTATCCTCTGAATCGTGTTGAATTTTTATTTTCTCACCTGATTCAAGGATGAAATTCTGAGTTGTTGGAGGCGGAACTGAAGACGGTGAGGATGAATTGAAGTGGTGGCGGAATTGACGAAGGGGGTACGGACTTACGGTGGAATTGAAGGTGGCGGCAGATTAGTGAAATAATAAATCTGAAAGTGGCGCCGATGGACCATTTGCGGGTGAAGACGACGATTTTGAGAGGGTCAGCGGTGGGTTTTACTCTTCGTCGGAGAATTTGTCGAAGTGGAGGTCGCCGGACGACAACTTGGAGAAGAGATTTGAGCGGGAGGAGAAGGATGTTAAAGAGAATTGCTGCAAGCAGATGGCGGCGGAGGAGGAGTTGTGGCGGAGGAGGCTTGGGCAACTGGTGAAGTAGAACTTGATTTTCTAATGGCGGTGGAGGAAGCTTGGCAGGGAAGAAGAAGTTGATTTTTTAATTAATTTATTTATATAATACATATCTTTTCACAATTTATTTGTTTAAATTGAAAATTAAAAAATCATAGAGATTTAGAGGGGCGATTTTGTCTTTTCATACAAAAAATTGTACAAAAATCAAACAAGAGTCGCACAAATAGCGCGTGAACTACACAGACCATCGGGAGGGGGCGAAACGACTTTGACTTTTAAATACAGGGGGGTATAGGTCACTTTATTTATCACAGGGGGTTTTCTGGTTTTTAGGATTAACACAGGGGAAGTTTTTGCATTTTACTCCTTAATTAATTAATGTATCTCATAAATAACCACCAAATTAATTAATTAATAAATAACATTTTACTTATTCAATGCTCATCTTAATTATTACAAACAAAATCAAATAAAAAAACCTTAATCCTGGTTACTCGGATTATTTATTATTTATTACAAACAAAACGTAGAAATCCAATCAAAACAACACCATGCATCAAAACATAACAGAAAATAATTAAAGAAAATAGTTTGTTCTTAATCTTGAAAATGCAGAAAAGAATTAGGCATATGCAGCAGCTCCTGAATTGAGTTTGAGGAATTATTATTAAAAATACCTGGAAATGGCGGAGAATAATTAGGAGTAATTATAGGGTAATTATGAATGGACTGAAGGGGTTCCCTTTGAGTACTAAACATCGTCTCTCTGTCTGAAATTTGAGATCTTGAATTATTATGATTCCACGTGTAAAATGCCTGGTGATGATGATATATGTGTTCAAGTACCGAATCTTCTTCTCGAGTTTCATCAACAATGGGGAGAACCTGAAACTCAGAACAACAAGAAGAAGAAGACAAAGGCGGAAAGCAATCGAAACTATAAACGGGGTTGTCGTATATATCATGAGGCGGCGGCAGCGGTACTGGCGGAGGAGGAGGAGGAGGGTGAAGCAGCAGTGCATCAATGGCGGATTTAGCCTCATTCATAAGCCAATCAACGGCCTTACTTGGCCTGTCGTAGCCCAGCCTATCCTGCACATCGTAGAACTGTATCGCGGTCTTCGGCGACAGCCTTAACCGCCTGTCCCTCGTCGTCCCACTCGCCGTGCACACTTTGCTGTGCTTGTCTTTTCTGCCTCCGCCGCCGCCGCTGCGGACTTGGATTACGTCGGCGGCGGGTTTTTTTCTCTTCCTGGAAGAGGAAGCTGAAGTGAAACCCACTTGCATAATTCTATCTGGAGTATGTACACCAGCACCACCAGATAGGGAGCTGATGCTAAAATCTTGTTGATGATGAGGAGATTCTTGAAAAGCATTAGTATTGTGTTTATTGCGTGTGGTGGTTTCCATCTTCTTTTCCCTAGATTCTGACTTATAGCTTCTATCTAGCTTATAAGTTATAAATAATTACTTTTGGCATCAAAAACTTTTTTGATTTCGGTACCCCTCACCCTCAATATATTTATATTACAGCTCATAATAACCCATTAATATTCAACCTTTACTGCCTAATATTATGAGTAATTAATGCCTAAGCAATATTATTTAGTACTGTTTTTTTCTGTCTTGATGAAAGAGCAGTTGTTAATCACCTTTAATCTGATCATAACTGCAATGCATGCAGTACTTGTTCAGTAATTATATATATTCACTGGTTATATATATATATATATATATATATATATATATATATATATATATATATATATATATATATATATATATAATTGACTGTTGACTACTCCATGAGCAGTTAATTAGTAATTACCATAAAAGCATGCACAAGCATGATGATATATACAGGGGTTTTTCAGTAAATATCAAGGTTGTAAAAATCGGTAATCGGGTCCGAGTCGGTCAGGCACCGACTCACGATTAATCGGTGCGGCGGTGATTAATCGGTGATAAATCGGAAATAAATCGGTTTTTAAAATTTAATATAATATATTTCTAAATATTATTTATAAATACTCCAAACATATGTAAAAAGATATTTAAACATAATTATATCTCCATCATGTATATATCCTAATAACATAATAAAAGTTTAATAATCATAAGATGATAATACATAAATATCCTTATAAAATATAAATAAAAAACATTTTTTTTAATTTACATTTATTCTTGAACATTCGTTAACAATAACAATTAACATAAACAAAATAAGGCATAAACTCATATTTTCTTTTATTAAAATCCAACTTTTATATTGAATTATAAAATAAAAAAACTAAAAAAAAAAAAAAAAAAAAAACCGATTTTTAATCGATTTTTAACTGATTTTTGACCGATTTTTTGCCACCGAGTTTGACCCGCCTTAAAGGTTTGACCGCCTCAGACCGCCTCGAACCGACTCAGACCGCCTAAAACCGCCTCACAGGCAAAAAACCGATTTTTCAAAGCTCTACACTAAAATCGTAAAGGTTTTGGACCGCCTCGGCCGCCTCGACCGATTTTTAGAACACTGGTAAATATTGTGAAAAGCATATGTAATTTTATTACTTCATAGGATTATAGTTTTTACCTTAAAGTGTAGTATTGAACCAGACACCATCATATGATCAGTTTTAAGAAAAAAGTTGTAATAGTGGGTCCCTTTGTGAGAGAAATGCAAGAGAGAGAGATCTAGAGAGAGAGAGAGAGAATGCATGCGTGCATGTGAATATATATCATTCTCTCATGAAAGACTACTATTCTTCAGAAATTTATATATATATTTCATTATTTAATTAATTTGAAATATTATATAATTATGATGACATGCATTGTAAATAAAATAGGTAAAAGGAATCATATATAGTAATATATAGCAGAAAACAAACATGATAGGTCTATCACAAGTGTGTCTATATGTACATATTATGTATGTCCTGTCAATTATCAATAATGCACATTAATACGTACGAGGGGTATACCAGCCAATTATAGCACTGTTGATCTGTAACCAAGTAACATGATCATATTGATAATTCAAATGTACAATGGTACGCACACTCACTGGTTAAAAAGATTCATTTTTAAAAAATAAAAATAAATAACCGTAACAGGTATTATTGGCCGGGTGGGTGGGGGGTGGTGGAGCCCCACTTAGGTATGATTTTAACTTTGAAATCTCATGCCCTCACTTTTTGTGGTGTTTTTTTTTATTGGGCCTATCCCCATCACTTTATATCCAACTACAATCAATAATAATCCCAACTACAGGGGAGAGAGAGAGAGAGAGAGAGAGAGTTTTCTTGTAAATGTGTGTGTATAAACATTTACTTAACATAACATAATTTAATGATTATAATTACTGATAAGCGGCTCTTTCGATCCTAGACCCGGTGATAAACACTCGGTGGGTCTTCTGCTGCCACGTATCCCTTTTTTTATTTTTCTAAAAGTCCTAAAGGTAACTCTAGCGGGAAATATATTAGGAAATATATTATAAAATACAAAAAAGAAACACGTGGCAGCAGAAGACCCACCCAGTGTTTATCACCTGGTGTAGGGTCGAACAAATCACTGATTAGCAGAGTCTGGCTGCTAGAAAATCTTCCAATTGCATGGGCCGCCAACATATATACATATGATAAATAAAATATTTGAAAGGTGCAATTGTATTTACACACAGGCCCACACTTTTGGGCTTCTACATCGTTGCATGCAGCCCAAACATATATGTTGGTTGAAACTTGAAATGCCTTGTTAATTTACTACTACTACTACTGTATATTAGTGGTGGAAATCGGAACCGGAATTCGATATAAAATTTGGATTTCTAATCCGGTTTTAGTCACGAATGTTTCGGTTGTTTTTCAAAATATATATAATATAATTTTACGAACATATTTTGTAATTAATACAAATTATGTTCTATTTCATGTCTTCAATTTCATTTTCTTGAATGTTTATTTATTTTTACAATTATATTATTTATTACATAAAATTGAGAAACCAAAGTAACAGGCACAATTACAAACAACCGATTTCAATGGGGAACAGATTAATTGATGTTCGTTAACCAATTTCAAGATTTCAAATCCCCACTCTGAAAAATAATCAAATATATTATGCAGCAGTCTATAAACTACCACACCTCATCATCAGTACACATGCTCCCATTACTCAGACGAACATCATCATCCTTAATTTCATCCCTAATCTCGTCATCATCGCCATCTTCAATCCCCCATTCTCTCTCTAGACTCATCATCATGGAATCTTCCTCGGTCAACGATTTCGGGCCTTCCAGAAAACTCATGGCCCTAGCCCAACAACTTCGCCTCTACAAACCCCCGCCGCCATCTAACGACGACGATGAGGAGGAGGGTAAAAGGATCGAGGAGAGTGCGGGGAAAGTTGTTTCGCAAGTGGGCTTCGCCGAATCTGCAACTCCGGTTGCCCATGAACCGGCTGACCGGTTCAAACCCAAAAGAGCTGCGGTTCTCGTCTGCCTTTTCGAAGGGGATGGTGGAGAATTCAGAGTTATTCTCACCAAGAGATCTTCATTTCTCTCTACTCATTCCGGTTTGTTTTTTCCCTAATTGCATTTTCTTAAATTCTAGATTAATTCGGTGTGATCCCCTTTTTTTCGTCTTTACAAATTTGACCTAATTTTTTCTGTAAATGTAGTTTCTTTTTTTATGTGGATTAAATTAGTGGGGTTTTTGTAATGAAGCTGTTTTTTTAAGACAGGTGAAGTTTCATTGCCTGGTGGGAAAGCAGAGGAGACAGATGCAAATGATGCTGAAACAGCAACAAGAGAAGCAAAGGAGGAGATCGGGTTGGATCCTTCACTCGTAAATGTCGTAACTTGCCTCGAACCCTTCTTGTCGAAGGTGCGTATATTTTCGGATATAGCCCGAATTCTTACCTTTGGAAAGACTTGTGTACTAAAAATGCTCATTTATGTTATGTGGCGATTTGGGTCGATTGAGTTGTTTTTATCCAAGCAATTCTTGATTTTCGATTAGTGCTTCTGTTATCGTATGCTTCTTGAAAGCTCGATTAATTTCTGGTATTATGTTGTCTATGCTTTTTCGAAATGCTAATTATTAATGATCAATTCTAGTATTTGAGGTATGTAGCAAAATCCCGGATTCAGAAGTTTGGAAAATTAACTGGGAAAATAGTTAATTAAATAAGAGTGGAATTGCGGTTTGCTTATGAAGATAGACGAAGAAGTTTTTTTGTGCTTATTTGCTCTGTTTTCTCTTCCGCATGTAATTTGTTGATTACTCGACTCGACTTTGTCGAGTTAGTTAAGAAGCTAATATATTTGAAAGAATGGTCTAAAATGTATATAAATGCAGCATCTTCTGAGGGTGATTCCTGTTATTGGCATACTTTCGAACAAGAAAGACTTTAAGCCTTGTCCGAATCCCGACGAAGTCGAATCGATATTTGATGCCCCCTTGGAAATGTTTCTCAAGGTAGTTTTGTTTCTCAAGTTTTGATTTCGTTTATTTTTCTCGGTATACTTAAATTGTTTTTATTTTTGAATTTTTGAAGGATGAAAATCGAAGATGGGAAGAGAGAGAGTGGATGGGAGATAAGTATGTGATCCACTTCTTCGACTACGAAATGGAGGACAAAGAATACGTGATCTGGGGTTTAACTGCCGGAATTTTGATCAGAGCAGCTTCAATTGTTTATCAGAAGCCACCTGCTTTTCTTGAGCAAAACCCCAAATTCAAAGTCCCTAGTACTGCTGTCCTCAAAGATAACAATTTCATGCCTTGATTTTATTTTCCATATTATTTAATTTGTCAATATTAACTTTATACAATAATAATAATAAAAAATTGTCACAACTGTCTAATTTCTTCCATGCTCAATAATTTATATTTATAGGGCTCGTTCGTTTACATATATTGGATTATATTGGATTACATGAGATTGGATTAACTCCCTACTGACTAATTAATTATTTAGGTAGTAGCATGTACGGTTTCTTAGATTATATTTTCTATTAAATTTGTTATAATTAGTTATTACATATGAATTGTCTATAAAACCACTTAGTTTACAATAATAAAATATAATTTTAAGGATAAAATTGTATTTTTCCTTTTTAGTCAGCCCTATTAAATTAATCTCAGGGGGAGGGGTGCTACTAATTTAATGAAATAGTAGCATTTAATAGTGGCTTTGAATTTAGTAGCGAATTTGAAAATGTGTGAATCTTACCTACCGGACATGCTATTAGCCCCGACTATTTAGTCAGTAGAATCTTATAGCGGTAACCGAACGAGCCCTAAGGAGATCACATGAGTTTTTTAATGGAAATATATCGTTTTTTTTTCATTATCTGTGGGATTAGAAACTAGGGTAAATTACGGCCATCAAATTACAAAAAAAATCTCCACGTTGGATAATTACAATTACTCCCTCAATTATGAATCTTTTTTCATGTTCATTCTTACGGTGTCAAATTTAATGGAATATTCTCCAGTTTGTATCCGTTTTACCCCCATTCGAACTCCACATTTTAAAACAAGATGATTATAAGATGTATCTCTTGACTTGTAAATATCAAATTGTGGTGCATCAAAAACTGCATTTTTGTACAAAAACGAGTATAAACTAAAGAATATTCCACAGAATATAGAAGATGCTGTTGAATTTAACACCATAAGAGTGGACGTGTAAAAAGCTTCATAATAAAGAAGGGTGAATGTAATTATCCAAGTTTTTCCTAATTTGACCTTATCTTAGGGGTGCAGTCGTAGTTTACCCTAGAAACTATAAGAAGAAATCGGCCCAATACATAAAACGGGTCAAGTACACAACCAATTAGAATAAATAAATTGAACACTTGCCACAAAATGGGCCAATTTAATCACTGTGAAGGCCCAGCTTGGCAGTAGCAGGAAAAGTGTTACGTGTAAGAAATTTTTTTACCGCCAAGTGAATTGATCTCTATTACATATATATATAAAAAAAGGAAAAAAAAAAAAGAAAAAGAAAAATTGAATTGATCTCTCTCTCTATACTCTCCTTCTTCCTCTAATCCTCCCCTAAACTGATTTAAGTTTGGCTGAACCCTAATAGCAATTATGTGTCCTAATCGTTCGGAGAGATCAGAAACCCTCGTTGAACTAGCTCAAAGACTCCGGCTTTACAAATCCAATCACACCTCCGATGTTTCCGATAAAGATTCAGACACTCAAAATTCCGGCGGCGGATTATTTCCGCAAGGAGTCGGTTCCGATAGAGCTGCGGTTTTGATCTGCTTGTTTGAAGGCCAAAGCGGCGATCTTCGCGTAATTCTGACCAAAAGATCGTCGACTATGTCCTCTCATTCCGGTAACGTGTTCTACTGCTAAGATTGTTCTCTTTAAACTTTAATTACAGTTATGTAAACAACATTAATGAAGAAAAAAAAATTGTGTTTTTTTTTTTAATATAAAATTTCAGGGGACGTTGCGTTGCCAGGAGGGAAGTGGGAAGAGGGCGATGATAATGATGCCGACACAGCTTTGAGAGAGGCTAACGAAGAAATTGGATTGGACCCTTCATTTGTGGAGGTTGTAACTATTCTTGAGCCATATTACACTAAGGTAATTGAATTTTTTTCTTTTTTTTGGAATTTTTCTGCTAATTTTTCAGTTTCAATTGATTTTGCAATCTGAGTTCTTGAATTCTCAGTTTCTGTGCAGAGGAATATTACTGTATTTCCAGTTATTGGAATAATTTGGGACATCAGTAACTTTAACCCGGTCGCAAATGCGTCCGAGGTGGAATCGGTGTTTGATGCTCCTTTAGAAATGTTTCTCAAGGTTTGTTGTGTTTTTTTTTTTTTCCCTTTCTCTGTTTTTGCAATTTGCACTGCTAAAATTATCGTTTATCGGCATTCTCAGAGTGAAAATCAGAGAGAAGAGAAGAGCGAATGGATGGGTTATAAATATTCGCTTCATTTCTTCGATTACCAATCGGAGAATAAGTCCTATGTTATATGGGCTCTGACTGCTGCAATTTTAATCAACGCCGCTTCAGTTGTTTATCAACGACCCCCTGCTTTTGAAACGCACATGCCTAAATTCTGGGCAAGAAGTCGCCACTGAGTACGGCTATCCTACTGTTTCATTTATCATGTTTATTAGTAACTCTTTTGCTACTCGAATGCATGAAAGCTCAATTTTTGCTATTGTATGTATGGCGATTTGTATTTATGATGTACTAATTAATACTCTCGATTTGGTAAATTTGTGGTATTGATTGGCAGTGTTTCATATTGATTACGACAGAAAGTTTTGTGCTTGTTTACAAGTGTTTGAAAAACGGAAAAAAAGAAAGAAAGAATAAGCCTCGAGTTTCTAGTTCGATGGAAATGGAAGAAACGAAATACAGGGGTTAGTTCCAACTTAAGTAAACCTGAACAAAATAACACAGTCCCATCGAGAAAGGGTATAGAAAGAATGCTACTATCGAAGTCCATAGTGGATAAGTCGGTGACGAGTATGACAGATAGCCGATTATGGCACAGACAACCAAAATCGTGAGTACTTCAGCTGAAAAATCCCATGTCAGGTCTTTTGCGTATACGATTGCCAACAACGTTGTCAATCCCGCTATGTTGTTCATAATGACTCCTCCGTATATCTGCGAACACAAGTGATAACGAGTTAAAACCATCCATTAGGTACAGAGAGATAAATAGATATAGATATGTATATATGTATACCTCTGAGAATGTCAAAGAAGCACTTCTTTCGCTCTTTTGACTGGCGGGCAAGAACGCTGTTAGTGCTGCTCTTGCATTCATGGCTAATGGTACTATTACGAACGAGATGCCGAAAGACGGTAATCCCATGGCGTACGACAGCTGTAGAATGCTACCCATGAGAGGTCCACCTAGGAAGGTCAATATACCAATGCCAAACACGACTTGAAATATAGATACGATAAGAGCCCCGTTGTTGTGCACTGCTTTTTTCCACACGATCTGCGAGTTAAAAACGAGTACAATGATTTGTCATTTGAGAGATTAAAAGTGAGATACAGAATTGTTATTATTACAAGTGGTGCTTAGCTTACCTGGTCGAATTCGTCTATACTTCTTGTCTTGTCTGGTGTATTTGCAACATGAATGGCCTTATTCAGCCATTTCTTAACTCCCTCGACGAATTCTCGTTCGTCGATTGAATTATTATCATCCTTGTCAAAATCGTTGAAAAGCTCCTTTATTATATCCTCACGTTTTGGTTTAAATTCTCCGAATTTGACAGTACTTATGAGCTGCTCCAGTTCGGATGCTGATATTGATTTGTTTCCATCAGTGTCAAACTGCTTGAAAAGACTGCAAGAAGAGAAACACAGAGACTCAGGTAAGAAACTAACGAAGCAAACACGCGATTTCTTTTTTATTTTTATTTATTTTTATTTCTTTTTTATTTTAACCTCTGAATACGCTCGATGTCTGGCTTTCCATCAGGCGTGATAAGCGATTCCGATTTCAGTAGTTGGGTTTCGGCATGCTTCAAAATCTTCGACATTATTTTGTCCATCTCGCGGGGATCGTTTTCTTTCTTCTCTTTGAATAGCTGTAAGACCTGACAAAAATGAAAGAAAACCAAGATTTTTTAAGACGGTCTAATTTTCGAGAAACCATGCAGATGTAAGAAGGGGTTCGTCTCAAACCTCATGATAAACGTGTTTTGAAGTTGAATCACTACGACGAGACGACTGGTTAGTTTCATCGATCCATTTCTTGCATCCTTTGATGAATTCTTGCTCACTGATACTCGTGTCATCGTCGAAGTCGAATGTTTTCATTACTTCCGCAACTGCAAATTTGTCGTCAATCTTCACCTGCCCTGTATTAAGGACGTCAACCACCAATTTTTCCATTTCATCCTTGGTAATACACTTGTCTGCATCTTTATCCGTGTCAGCAAATAATCTGCCAAAAATATAGCAAATATATACATGAGCCTTCGTTCATACAATACGGTAGTACATATAAATCTAAGGTTTCTGTAACATTACTTTTCGACGACATTAGTATTGAGTTTCCCATCTTCATTCACAAGTTGTCCCTGTCGTTGCACGTGCTTCAAAAATCCCGTACGCAGCATTTCATACCTCGAGTAGTCTAAACTTCTTTCTTGAATCCAAGGATTCAAAATCTGACGAAGAAAACAAGGTAAATTTAACAGCATTAGTTGGGCGTCAAAATCATGCAATAAAAATGTAGGATTTTTTTTTTGTTCAGTAATTCTCGATATTAATTCAACCTGATAGAGGAAATACGATAACAGAGATAACGTTGAAAAAACGAGCGATATCAAAGTTATGAAATGATTTCCGGACGAAGTTTGGAATATATCAACTATCTGCACGATGACGTAAGGAATCAAAGATAGCAGCACGATCCCAGCTGTTTGACGAGTCTCTGGATCAATTGCAACACCGGTGTCTGCAGTAAAAGGGCAAAAAAAAAAAAAAATTGTTACCTCGTACGATAATATTTTACATGCAAAACAGGCCATCGTAATTTGTATGCGAAATTCCGAACCTTTCAAGATACTGATTTTTTCTCTTGCAGGCAGACAATTTGTATGAGGGATTTCATCACACTCGTTCGGTTTCTCTTTCAAGTCTCTTCTTCCGACTATTACGCATATACCCCATTGCACCGTAAGACTAAAAACCGTGATTCCCGCGTAAATACCTACTCCAAGTGAGACTTGGTTTTGTGCATTCTCTTTGCTACTGAAAACTCCAGACACTACATTAAGAAACATAAATCTTTGTTAAGGTTAATATTGTCTTTTTTTGTTTTTTTTTTTAATGATGAGAAAATACGTACCGATCATGAGCATCATGGACGGAAGAGCCATAAGAATACGAAAAATGATGCCACCGAATTTTCCGGCTCCAATAATATGAAACAGAACTTTGCTCCCTTTGCCTATCTGCTTTTCTCCGAATATCAGCAGTCCTTGATATACCATAATCTGGAAAATATAACCGGCTGCATTTTCCGAACATGGAAGAAAACCGTACTGGTGATCGCATGTGCTCGTGGCCGAAAGATCAATGGTGGACGATGATTGGTTCTCGACCAGACGGTCAACTCCATCTGATATCAAATGATCATCAGACGAATGAAGGGTCAGGATTCGACCGTGAACTACGCTGATAAAAAAGACGAGCAGAATCAACCGAGAAGAAACGGCAGCGGCAGCCATTGATGGATGGAGAAACATGAAGCAGAAGAAGCAGGTAAAACTTGATTTGGATCCAGATGTATTTAAAAAAAAAGGGAATTGGATAAATAATATTGATTGAACAACTTGCTTAATGAATTATATATACTTTATAGGAGTTGTTAATGTTTGAATGATTGAAAATGGAGGCATTGTTTTATTGACTAAATACAGGTTGTGCATAACATGGAATTTGGATTAAAATAATATTTGTTTTATTTCCATCTGTCTCTTAGAACTTTCCGACCTGTATATATAATTTAGCGCCGCCGGTCAACCCGCAGCCGCTTACGTCATGGCCTTACATCAATAGTGTTCTGCTCTTGACGATGATTATTATTGGAGTTAATTAAGAAATTAAGAAGGGTGAATTAGTCTTTTAGACATTTTTATATTGTTGTTCATTCTATCGTGCAAATAGTCAAACACCATAGGAGTGCAAGAAACAGTGTTTTATAATCAAAATCCAGGTGGAAGAATTAGAATTTAAAAAAAAATGTTTATTTAATGTTTGAGGTTCATGAATTTAATGTCACTTCAGATTTTAACGAACTAAATTTTGTCTGCATATGCAGCAAATAATCACGTGCTGATTTAGTTAATAAAATGAAGTTGACCAAGATTCTATTATTAGGAGAACACAGTTTTCTTGGGATGGTTTTGTTTGTGTTGCTAAGTGTAAACAGATATTTTTCATTATTCATTAACAAAAATCAAAGACTTAAGCTGAAAAGAAGCATCAATTTCTCGTACACTTGACATAAAATTGGATAGAGTTTAGCGAAAGTAGTTAGACGAATTAGTTCACATGTTTTAACTTTCTTACGATTTAATTTAGATCATTGGTTAAGTGGTTATTAATAATCGAATAGTGGTTGATTATTTATTTTATATCATTAATCCACTAACTCATTATTTTAGTGCTTGGTTGCTCGCTTAATATGTGTAGGTAGTCGACTTAATTGTACGAAAAATCTAGGTAAGATACCTTTCATAATAGAGAATATCGTTAATTCTTTTGCACACAAAAAATATTAAAAGGCTAGCGAAAAGAAATATAATACAAAACAATGTTTAACAAATCTTTCTCCTTGTACTGAATGAAAAATATATCTTTACTTGTGGCCCTTCTTAAGGCAACCCAAGAACAGAAGTAAGCAAATAAACTACCGCCAGAGAAATCGGGTACAACAGAAGCACGACGCAACCCAACCAACGAGGGAATGTCGTCCGTAGACTCGTAAGCAAAGTCATGAATATGCAAATCACCAAAACCACCGCAACTTGTGCAAACACATCTGCTTCCAAATTTCTCGCGAAAACCGGCGCTAAAAACACTATCAGACCGATAATATTGTTCATGTACACCCCACTGTACAGCTGTTCAACAGAAAGAAGAAAAAAAAAATTAAATTTAGCGAAATATTAAATTATTGAATTAATAATTTAGCACGTTGTCAGCGAGTCGGGACTAAGAGCAATGGTTATTTAAGTGAGGTTATTAATTTATCGACGTTCTACTGTATACACACTATGATAGTACTTGTAACAACGAAGAGGGAACATATTTACGTACCGCAGAAAGTGTCAAAGAAATGGATTTTTGTGTCCTTTGTCTGGACGAAGCAATAGAAGCAACCGCAACTCCGTAGTTCATAGCGAAAGGTATGGCCAAATACGAGACGGAGAATGACGACAAATTTGCAGCTTGAGCGAAAGCCACGACACTTTTTATCAAAGGCTCGGCAAGTGCACAAAGCATCACCGTCCCAATCGCCACAAAAAGACCGGCCCTCAAATAATTCAACCAAGAATTAGCAGTCCTTTTGATTACGCTCGGGCTGAATTTATGGCTGTTAGCCAACAATCCCTGCATCGATTCGTTGTCGTTCGGAGAAACGTTGCTACCGGTCAATTTGAGGCGACTTGGAGTTTGATCGGAAAGTCCGGTAACTAATTCTGTCATGCCTCTGATGAATTCGTCCTTTTGGATAAGTCCGTCACCCGATACATCGAAAGATGCCAAGATGTTTTCGACATCTCTGTCAGTGCCTAAATCTTCGTCATCCATTTTTACCCCCAAGAGCAAAACTCTCAGTTCTGCTGGCGATACAGCTGCATTTCCGTTCTTGTCGATTTTACTGAACAGCCTGTAAAATTACGCGAAGAAAGAAAATCCATCAAGAATCACGAGAATATAATTTCGGCTTCTTAAGAAATGATATTATATTTATCGAACTCACCCTTCGATTTTGCTAGTATCGGGCTTGCCGTTTCTGGACAAGAGTCTGAGGAGTTTGTCTTTGGCATATTTATTCATTAAATATTCAAATCTCCGGTTTTGAATCCACGGTCGGAATATCTGTACAACGGTGAACATATAAAACATATTAAAGACTGTAGAAATTTCTTCGTAACACTAATTATTTTTTACGAGAAATGGAGTAAGTAAGTACACTTGTTATTGACCTGATAGGTGATGAAAGCCAAAAGCAAAGAAACGGTGACGATTAAAGCAATTAGAATAACGACTCTTTTCCCCAACGGTGAATTGAAAACTTTCGCGAACAAGAGTATGACAAATGGAATCAATGTTATCAACATTATACGAGCGGTGTAGCTCGTTTCAACATCGGTAACGACTCCATGACCTGCTTAATTAACGAGGGGCGACGAATTTGTTAGATACACATTATTTCATGTGTTACTAAAATAAGATTAATTTTTAATGGAAAAAAATATTGATTAGCATTTAGCAGCACCTTTCGGAGTGTCTTTTTGGTTTCCGGAATCATCGACTGTAATAGCCTCGGAGAGATCGTAACTTCCTAGGATAACTGAAATCCCCCATATTAGCGTCAGAAGCATAACTGTGGTTCCGGCAACTAATCCCATACCGAGCGTGGCTCGTTGTTGAGCAGCTTCGGTTGTTCCCGAAAGTGATGATACTGAATCATTCAAAAGAGTCATAATTGAAGTGAAATGTGAGAATCTTTCTTTAAATAATATGACACCACCGTAAGAGTGAACGTGTAAGAAAATTCATAATTTAGTGATGTAATTGTAAATTTGTATTATTAACATGGATAAACAGGGGAATTTTCCTCCATACGTCATATTCAAGTGGGATATTCTATGATTTAAAAGTTATCAAGTGGTTTTTTTGGAAATTTGTCGTTATGATATCTTATCCTTGTTGACAACTGCCGTTTGTTCTACACCCACCTAAAATCGCGTGGCTACAACTTTTCTCAAAATACTCTTATTTTCTTGACTCTTTTTTTGATTTTTTATTTTTTATTTATTTAGCAATGCTAGCTAGTGGAAGACAACCAATAAGGAAGATTGCCAGATTGGGTTTTTCAGACACGTATGTATGTATGTATATATATGTTCAACACGTCTGACACTGATCACTAAAGTAACCCCAGTCGTCTTGACAAGTAATTTTTTTTATTATTTTTTTGGCAAATAATGAACCACAAAATCAGCATGTAAATAATAATTAAAAAAAAACAAGTAGAAAAAAGAAAAACTGAATCAAATATGGAAGGCAAGTGAGAATTAAAAAGTATATATATATAAATATATATATAGTACTGACCAAGAACCAAGACAATCTGTGGGAAAACACCGAGGAGCTGAAACAAGCTGGCTCCGAAAATACCGGGTCCGGTAATCTGGAAGAAAAGGTTCGACCCGATACCGACAAACTTCCCTCCGGTTGAAAGCAAGATCTCGTACACAACAATCAGAAACAGAAGCCCCCAAACATTGGTCGAGCAGGGCAAGAACCCATATATGGGCTCACAAGTCTCCGTCGTAGCAGATAATTTCCATTCAAGAAAAGATGATGCTCCCTTGCTCTTCCAATCTACACCGTCGGATTCATCTACACCGTTATTAATCGAACGGCTGTAAGCTTGATGGCTCACCGTAAGAAGAAGCAGCAGAGAAATCATGCTCAATCTATTCATCATCATCATGGGTGAATGTAATTTGAAAGAAAATAAAAATGCTGAATTGAAGGAAAAAGGTTTTATAGAGAGAATTATAAATGATTTTAGTTAGTGGGTGTTTATATAGGCAATAGGCATTGACTTGAAAATATAACCCGCCATGTTAGACTTTTGAACATGTAACAAAGCTAGTTGGCGGACACTTATATAAAGGGGGCAACTATTTTGAATACTAATTTTTGCTTAGTTGAATACTACCTAGTTGAAAACCACAATTGAGTACATATTTATAAGTTTTTTCTTACTTTAAAACCAAAATAAAAAGAAAATTACAAAAACACCCTTTCATACAAAATATCAATTATATCAAATTTTATTAGAAATTACCTATTCAAAAACCAAATAAAAAAAAAAGAAAAAAAACCCTTTGTTGTTAAAAAAAAAAAACCTCCACCATTTCTTCTCCTCTCCAACCTTGACCGCCGCCGCCGCCGCCGACACCGCCGCCGCCGAACGCCACCGTACGTGCTCGTAACTGCCGCGACAACCCAATTAAACCCTATCTTTTTCATCTTCTTAAATCCTCCAAAACATCTCCAAATTCAAAAAATCAAAACCTCACAAAACTTATAAAATGGAGTTATAAGACAATAATATGGTAGTATATGTGGAAAGAGAAGCCATTAAGGTAAGTATCGATGTCTTTTTTGAGCTTCGAAGTCGATTTTGAAGGTTTTTTTTTCTCTTTCCTTTTATACTATTTCCTTCCTCTTTCATTTTCATTTTT